TCAGGATCCTGGCTCTGCTTCTTGTTGCTGAATGATGTGGGATAAGACATTTAACTTTCCCTGGCCTCTTTGCCTCCCCTGAAAGAAGGCATTCCTGCCAGGGTCTCTGCTGGTTCTCACAATTGAGACCTATTGTTTTAACCACAACTCTGGAATATCTACAGGCAGCTGGTTTTAGAGACCCAAATTATCAACAGCATCTGCATAATTTATCATGCCCATTAAGTCCTCATATTTCTCAGATGCCCAGTGTTCTGTGAAATCTGAAGTGCTTTCAAGCTGAATGCGTGAGCCAACAAGGAAAGGAGCAGAAAGTCTGTTAAAGAATTGAAAGTGTGAGAAGTGTGAAAGTTCTAGTGGTGAGTTAATTATGCTGATTTTAGAAAGTTTCCTCTGTTCCTGGCCACAGGAGAGTCCACTCGGCTGCCTTTCCTCCTGCCCATATTTTAGACACATTGACCCAGAGCAAAACAATAAAAAGAACACATTGCTTGTTCTGGTTTCCTGTTGGCTGAGGAGGGTGGAAAATAGCTGCTTTTCACAATATTATTTTCTTGCACCTCCTGAAAGCATCCCCTTCCAGCTACTGAAATGGAAGACCACAAACCAAAAGAACCAGAATTGGGAGGAACTGGACAGGGAATCCAAAGGGAAGACAACATGGAGGAATAGAAATGGGTCCTTGAGCCAGACAGTCTACAAGGGAAATGGGAGTGTCTGTCACCACACCAGGCATGAATAGAAGCAATCGTTGGAAGTCTCAGGTCACAGACCTGGGACTCCACAGCTGAGAGTTTGACCCTTTTTCAGGGAAGGGCTAGGAACAGAGGTCTTGCTAAATGATGGCTGCTTTCCCAGGATAGCAATGCAACCTGGTCCAAGGGGGATGGATGTTTTCCTTTCTGACTATCTGCTGGGTTTGTCTTTTGTCCATTCAAGTCTGTAGGCTCTGTTTGCCCTTCCTGTTTTGCCCGGATTGCCTGTATCTTTCCTCCTGTGTCCTTTCTGCGGTTTTGGCTCTGGAACAACTCTTACTATACAATGGAGAATAGAATGATTCCATTTTCTTCCCATCTCAGGGGACAAAACTCACTGAGACTCCTTTGTGCTGTCAGAGATGCTACAAGAGGTCAGTGGCTCTGGTTTCTGGAGATGGGTTTTCTTTTGCTACCTAGCGGAGGCTTCTCTGAACAGCTTGTGTGAACGGGTCTTCAGAAAGATGTAGCTTTTTGAAGTGTTTGTAGGCTAGCCCCATGTTTGCAGGTTCAGGTTTTTTTTTTTTCTTGTATTCTACCTATGAGATATCAGTGTATCTCATTTCTTTTTATTGAATCATAATATTTAAACATCTTTATGGGGTAAACTTACGTAATTCAATACATGTGTGCCATGTGTTATAATCTAGTCAGGGTATCTGTGTCTTACAGCTATTGTCTCTTGCTGTTAATTTTTTTACAACAATAAGAATTTTATTGCTATAAAATAATACTCTCTCTGATCTAAGATATTGAAATTTAAAACAGAAATATGCTTAAGAAGATTTTCTTTGGTCCCAAACTAGACATTTTAAAATATCCAATACCCACTTATGGAGAATTGTCCTATCTTTTTCTAGGATATACATATTTTTAGAGAAATTGTCCTATGTAATTTCAAGATTAGATTAGACCCAAACACATTTTATTAAATTTAGATTATTTGGGAGTTTTAATCTAATGGTAAAACCACTATAAGTCAGAAGACCGAAGACAAACTATATTTACAACTCATATCACATATTTTTTTTTTACATAGAAAGTGTTCCTATAGGTGAGTACAAGGAAGACCAGTCACTCAATAGAAAATTTGGGTGAACATATTAGAAGATATTTCACAAATTTTATATAACTCTGAATATATGAAAAGATTCTGCTTTTTCTCATGACAAGAGAAAGGCTAGCAGTAATGAAAATGTGATATATCTTTGGCCAATCAGATTGATAAAAACAAACTTTTGCTTGTGCACAGTGTTATTAGTATAAAGAAATGGGTAAATTGATAGTGGGAGTATAAATCTGACAAAATTCCATTTGCAGTAGCATATGAATCTTTTAACTCAAGGATTTTTTTTAGGAGTTTTGTCCTAAGACACTGTCACTCATGTGTACACAAGTCTCTTAATTGTAGCTTTCTTTTATAAGTAAAATATTGTCAACAATGTAAATGTACACATAAAAGTTATTGTGATGTCTGTACATCTAGACAACCGACTTATGCAGCCATTAAAAAGCACAAGACTATATTGTTGGTGGGACTGCAAATTGGTGCAACCACTCTGGAAAGCAGTATGAAGATTCCTAAAAAACTTGGAATTGAACTACCATTTAACCCAGTTATCCCATTCTTTGGCATATACTCAAAGGACTGAAAATAAGCATACTACAGTGATGCAGCCATGTTAATGTTTACAAAAGTTCAATTCACAATAGCTAAACTATGGAACCAACCAAAGTACCCTTAACAGATGAATGGATAAAGAAATTGTGGTACATATGTACAACGGAATATTACTCAGCCTTTAAGAATGAAATTATGTCATTTGCCGGTTAATGGATGGAACAAGAGACTATCATGCTAAGCAAAATAAGGGAATCCCAAAGAACCAAAGGCTGAATGTTTTCTCTGATATGTGGATGCTAACTTGCAATAAGGGGGTGGGGATCTAGGGAAGAATAGTGATATTTTGGATTAGACAGAGGGGAGTGAAAAGAAGGGAAGGGGTGTGGGGGTAGGAATGATAGTAGAATGAATTGGACATTATTACCCTATATGCATGTATGATTACATGACCGGTGTAACTCTAAATCATGTGCAACCATAAGAAGGAGAAATTATACTCCACTTATGTATGATGTGTCAAAATGCATTCTACTGTCATGTATAACTAATTAGAACAAAAAAAAGTACATACTCTGATGGCAGATGACAAAAAAAATGGTGCATATTTGTAGCTGATATGGAGAAGTACCAAGGGACAAAAGTATAAGAAGCAAAATAGAGAAGACTGAGCAGAACATAACATTACAATTAAAAGTATGTATAAAAAACCTATGCAATTATCTGCCTTGTACTCTATTGATGGATATATGTGTATATTGTGTATGCATTATTGTGTATGTGTGTGTGTATAATTGTACAGGTATAGAATCTCTGTGGATGGATGCACAAAAAGTGGGCAATAGAGTAAAGGGGAGTTGGATGCTGGGGGATAGGGAAGAGAACCTCTTTTCACTCACTGCATCTTTTGGTATGTTTTGTGCCACCACCAAGTTCCCATTTAAAACTGTAAATACAATTAATTTTTTTAAAAGACAAAATGTCATTTCTCTTTCAGTATCCTCAAGGACTCACATTTATCCCGTGGTTTCTAGAAGCAGGCTCCCCTGTCTGTCAAGCACAATCATCAACTAACTGAAGAAGTCCTCAGTCCTTTTCCCTTTTAAAAAGACTTTCATGTTTTATTTAGCCAAGAAGCTGGAAGTGAGTGTGAAAGTTCCTGGGCTCATTTCCAACTACCTGCACCTGATCTTTAGATGCCAAGTTCTCTTCTAGAATGCTTGTTTCTTCTTCCTTCATGCAAAATGAAGACCTCCTTGGTTTTCTCTCCTTTTTTTTAATTGAAAAAAATCATCATGTGACAAAAATCGTACAAATTTCTCTGTGTGCATTATTTTTATAATTCACCAGAACAATCTCACTGTAGCTCCATTTCACAGATGGAAAATGGAGTCACAGAGATGGCATAGCTCATCAGTGGCTTTTTACTATAGAGATTTTTTATAAAAAGAACTATTGGTATGAGAATAATTAACTTTTCTCATTTGCAGTGAGAGATAGAATATTTAATACAAATTATCAGCTTGGGGATATCTGAAATATTGTTTAGAAATGACTAGGTCTCATAATAGCTAAGTTATGGAATTAACCCCTGATGCCCACCATTAGCTGAGTGGATTAAGAAACTGTGGTATTTATACTCAACAGAGTTCTACTTGGCCATACAGAAGAATAAACTTACGGCGTTTGCTGGTAAATCCATGGAAATGGAGAACATGGTGCTAAGTGAAATAAGCCAGACTCAAAAACTCAAAGGTCAAAGGCTTTCCCTCACTTGTGGAAGCTAGAGTAAAATAAAGGGGGAAGAAAGGATAGGATATTATAAAGACATGGGGAAGATCAGAAGTGCAAAAAAAAAAAAAAAAGAGCTGGAGAGGCAGAGTGGAGGGATGGGAAAGCAGAAGTGATATGGAGTGAATTCTTAAAATATTATGTTATGTGCATATATATAAATACGCCACATAGAATTTCATCTTTATATATATAAGTAAAAAGAACCAGTCAAATAAATTGATGAATGAAAGGAAGTTTAGGAGAATCGAGGAAGAAGGACAGAGAAGGGGAAGGAGGACAGGAGGGAAAAGGCGGGGAGGAAAAAGAGGGAGATGATGAACTGTAATTGAATTCCCTGTATGTTTGACTTTGTCGGGATGAACCCAACTACTAGTACAACTATAATGCTCTAATAAAAAAATAAAATAAAAAATGGCTGGGCTCTAAGTGGTCAGAGAGGCGTGTCTAATAGTTTGTTCATAACAATCTGGGTGGAAATTAATGTCACCTGAGAATAGTGCATATTCAGGGTAGGATCTGGACCCACCCACCAGAGTCCTGAATCAGTCAGTGCTAAAAGCAGAATCTTGTGTATACACATATATGCCTATGTGGATACATTTTTATGTATCATATATATGCCATATTTATTTTAAGATATGTTTTTTCTCTGGTGCTCGAGCTGTTGGTTTCATGTCTGATGTGTCAACTTGAAGTTCACAGGGAAGGTACCTGGGAAGGGAAGACGAATGCAAAGTGGGAGAGAACAAGGTCATGCTGGAGGCCTTGAGGACCGACCGGATCCTAGGTCAGCTCTCACTGCTTCCGCCTTGATGATGGTCACCTTGCAGGAGAAGCTGTCACTAACACAGAGCCAAATGCACATCTGGCCCAGGAGTTGAAAAAGCCGGAGGAGGCAGAGGAAGGCGGAACAGTTGCAGATCCAGCTGCTGCCCGAAGTCACAGGAAACAATAGGCTGCAGCTTCGTTTTTGCTTGTCTAGCTAATAATTATTGGTCATTCTCTGAGTACTATGTATTTTCTGGGCTATTTTTTTCCTTTATTTGCTTTTGCATGGGCTATTATTTCTCTTCTTTGCATGCACAGCTTCTGCTTGTTCTGGAAACCCAATTTCAGCATCACCTCCTCAAGGGACCCTCCTCTAACTCTTCCCACATGAATTGCAGGATCTTCCCCAGGCTTCCCTGAGGTCTCTGCATCCCTCTAACATAATGCTGTATGGCAATTGATGATTTCTTTGGAGCTGCATGCCTAACCACCAAAAGACTGCAACTTTGAGGCAATGTCTGTCTTATATTCCAGTTTGTGCCCCCAGCTCTGGACAGCCTATCTGGCACATGGTAGAATCCTAATGAGTGTTTGGTGAATAAATGAAAGCTTGCGTCCTGCCTTCTCCACCCTTGGGTAAGCCTGAGGAAAGATGAACTAGATTTGAGATTTTATTGCATAATTAAATTACACTGTCAAAATAATTTTTAAAGCTGAAAGGAAATTCAGAGATCAACTACAGGAAATTGAGGCCTAGAGAGGTGAAGAGAGTTGGCCAAGGTCATGCAGCTGTTTAGTGGCAAATTGGGATTGAAGCCCAGGTCTCCTGCTATCCAGTCCTACCCCAAATAAGGACAAGCATAGTTGCTATTTCCTCTTTCAAAAAGACTGTAGAATCTAGGCAAAAAGATTTAGCAACCTAAAAGTGCTAATGAGACGATAGCAAGTTAAAATTACTTAGAGGAATGAATCTCACAGCTACTATTCAGGGCTTCCTGGGAATCCAAAGAGGTAACTGAGATGGTCCCATTGCTGATTTCTTCTGATGGGGACTTCAAGTCAATGTTTGCTGATCCAACATGAATGAGGATGGGCAGTGAAACAGGCTATTGAATGAAGCATGTCAACTTAAAAAAAAAAAAGGAACAAAAACAATCACTCTGCTTATACTTACAAATTTATTGGATGGGTGATCTGAAATGTTTCTGCTTTTAATATTGAACAATAATGGATGCAAATATTATTTTTGTTTCCTACCTTGTGAATTCAGAAATCAAATGAGCCTACATCCAGAACAAGTCCCTTAAAGAACAAAAAGAATAAATAAATAAATAGAATAAAAAGGAATTTTTATTTTTATTTTAATGTTTAATACACAATTTTTGAATGTGTATTGAACTTGAAGTTGACTAATGAGTGATTAGGCACAGGAAAGGCTTTGTGAATATAAAACAGAAAAGTGGCATTATCTGGCCAGAAAAGTTGTATTGTTTAGCCAGCTCAGTGTTTTTAAAATTGTCAACATTTAAATATAAGGAGATTTCACATGTAAGGATTTCTGAATTTCTGCCTTTTGTTAGAAAGGGAGAAAGCCTGGTAACTTTAGTTGTTTTCCCATATTAGTTTCCAAAGGTGCTGTAGAAAATTACTACAAACTAAATGGCTTAAAACAACAAAAATTTATTCCAGCACATTTCTGAAATCAAGGTGTTGACAGATCTGTGCTCCCTCTGAAGTCTCTGTGGAAAAATTCTTCTCTGCTTCTTCTGGCCTCTGGCTAAGGTTTGCAGGCATTCCTTGGTTTGTGGCTGCAGAACTCCAATCCCCGGCTCTGTCTTCACATTGTCTTCTCTTTGTCTCAAGTTTTCTGCTGTCTCGCTCTAGTGAGAACAACTGTCATTGGATTTAGGGTCTATCTATAAATTCCGGGACAATCTCAAGATCTTTCAGTTGATTACATCAGCAGAGGCCCTTTCTAAATTTAAGGTTCTGGAAATGAAGACATTGTCATATCATTTTTGGAGTCACGCACCACAACTTTGAGATGGGCATTGCCTAAAAGCTAAGCTGTGGCTAGGCAGAGGTGTTCCTCTTGCCATAATCCCTGCCATTCTCTATCATCTGGGAATTTTGAATTTGGTAATCCTGGTTTGGAATTTGGTGAAAAGTTAAATCATCACCATGAGTGTCTGCATGTGACATAACTGTGATTAGATGTCTGTGGTCCTTAAGCAAGGGTGGGCATCAGAATCACTATGGGGGCCTTAAAGTGCAGGTCTCTAATTTTCTTAGAGATTCTGATTCAGTAGGTGTATGCTCTGGCACAAACATTGGCCATTTTAAGCAGTTCTGGGGCACAGCTGGGTTTGGGAGACATGGGGGAGGGCGTCCCCGCTGGTTGCTGGGATGCACAACAATCCTACAGGTTTCTTAACTTTGTCCTCTTTACTCAAGGCTCTCCTCCACCAAGGATAAAAAACATGAAATGCTGGACAGGAAACACCAAGCTCTCTACCCTGCCTGCCTCCTCTCCTGTTTTGGGAGTCGTCCTTAAGCAGGGCTTATAGGGGGAGCTGCAAGTTGTGGGCTAAGAGTGGTGAGGAGAGAGAAGGTGAGTGGACACCCTGCAATCCTGTCACGAAGCCCTCGAATGCTGTGCCCAGGGGCAGGTTTTATCCTTTTTTTTTTTTTTTTTTTTAAAATTTGTTCCTAGCTCTATATCCAGTGCCAGGAATGATGCATGGTGCATAGGAAATCTTCAACCAGTATTTGTTGAATGAATATTTGATGACTTTTCAGGCTCTAGGTGACCTGTCAGACTCATGTTCCTTGCTTTTCATGAGATTCCAGTGAATGTTTCCCTCCAATTCTCTTATCATTTGAGCAGGTGAGAGTGTCTTGCCTAAGACCCCATCCTTTCAGAGTGGACATGTGAATGTGTGTCCTTCTTTCCAGTCCTTGATCTAGACTTAGGTTGAGGGTGTACCCATGGTCTCTGCACTACCCTCCATATTTCCTGAGTACCATTTCTGTTTCAGTCCAGTTCTTGTTGGCTTTTTTGTTGTTGTTTTTAACTTTTAAAGTACTGTCTCAATTTGAATTTTTCCAAAAGTAGATCCAGAAACCATTTGAGAGTGAACTGCAGATAGACCATTTAGGAAGATGATCTCAAGAAGCATAAGCAAATCAGAGAAGGGATAAAAGCTGATAAAGGATGCAGTAACCAAGACTTACCACTGGGGGCAGTGGGGCTCCATCCCTCTGGGGACCATTTGGCCTTCATCAGGACAAGGAAGCTTTGAGTGTTTATCTACTAGCTTCTTTGCTTCACTAGTTGGGGGTTGTTGCTGAGTTTGCAGCATCCCTTGTTTTTGCCCTGTCCTTGAGCAGGCAGGGAAAATATCCTGGGGGTGCTGCAGAAAGTCCTCAGGCAGAGAATCAGAAAGAGGTGGGTGACTGAGAAAGGCAGTCAGCATCTTGTTGGAGTCCTGTCTGGGGTTAGTGTGGAAGAGCAACAATATCGTTACAGTTTACACCTTGTACCACTCAGATCCACTTATATCCCATAAGCCCACTCCATTATCTTCAAAAGTGGTCAGCCACAATCTCAAAAAGGAGAAAAAGACTAAATTGAAAGGGCTTACAAAATAAGCCGCAGTCCCTGTCCTGTTGTTGCAGCTGGATCTGAGGCCATTATTGAAATCCATCAGCCGCCCCCATTCATTCTAGATTCCTTTTACTCTGGGCCAGCGTTTCAGGCCTAGGCTGCTTGCCCAGTGGATGACCCAGACCTTCCTCCCTGAAGTGTCTGAGCCCCGGTTACCTTGCCCTTGTGAGGTTTTGATTGCATAATTAGCTGGTCACAATTATGAGTGAACAGAGCAGGACCAAGACCTATTCTTTTTTTTTTCTTTTAAATTTTTTAGAATTTATTTTTTTAGTTCTCGGCAGACACAACATCTTTGTTTGTATGTGGTGCTGAGGATCGAACCCGGGCCGCACGCATGCCAGGGGAGCGCGCTACCGCTTGAGCCATATCCCCAGCCCCAAGACCTATTCTTGATCGCCACATCTGCCCCCACATCTCCCTGCCACCACCTCCACTACAGTGAATTCCCAAGTGCCAAATGCTTTTCTGCCTCCATTTGATAGAAATCTTAGCTTCTCATGGTTGGCTCCCTCCTTCAGTAAAGTAACTCTTTTTTCTGTGTGCTGCCTTATTGGCATCAGGATTACAAAATAAGGCAGCTGCATCGTGTGTGTGTGTGTGTGTGTGTGTGTGTGTGTGTGTGTATACGTGCACAGCACGAAAAATAAATGTACCATGCTATTAAGAATGTCTATAACTACCTGATTAGATTATAAATGACTTTATTTTTATCTGTACTTTCAGATATTTTAAGATAATTTTTTAACCATGAAATATATCATTTCCATAATTGAAAGCAAAAAGTTACTTTAAACATTTGGAAGAATCTACCATTGCATTTCAGATATGAATACTGCACCCTCCCATCCTCAGTTTGCCCAACATCATCATCTGCTTGAGAAAGGGGGATTTTTTGACATAAAACACAGTTTTTCACATAGACATGAGAAATGAGTGAAAAGTAACTACATCCACAGTGATGTCAAAAGGGTGTCCTTAGGCCATATGATTCATCACAGTCTGAAACCATGTTATTTCTTTCAGAATGGATTTCAGAATGAAGAGAGATGTACTATAGATGTACGTATTAGTATACTTATTGTGATCAAATCTGGGAGATCCTGTAAATTAAAAATAGAATTACTCTAAAATCTCTGTAGGAAAAGACTGCCATTCCAGTTGAGCTGAAAAAAAACTTAATGGTTTTGTTTTATTTTATTTCTGATAAAGACTAAATGTGGTTTTAGTTTTTGAGTGGAAGAAAACCTATATATATATATATATATATATATGATAATTTTTATCTCTTAAGATAACTACCTATATTTTTATTCTACATTGAAAGTTTTATTATTCTTTGATAGTAGAATGTTTAGTTCTTAGTTTACAGTGTCTTTAGAAATTCAGAAAAAATATTTACAGATTCTTAGTTCATACTCATGAAAATCAGATTTAAAAAGTTGAAATGCCACTAATAACAAATGATTTAATACCACCAAAGTTAATAATATTCTGCTTAAATAAAACCCTGATTTAAT